GGCCATGACCACGACTGGGGCCACGTCCTCTTCCACGCTTAGCTTTGTGGAAGTTCGTCTTATTCACTTCAGGGAATGGACAAGAACCAGTAGGTCGGCTTTCATGGTTTTTCATTAATAGCCCATTATGTTGCTCGGCTACAAGAAGATGTGAGATAAGTTCAGAATACTTTTTGAATCCCATCTCTCGATATTGCTGCTGCAGGAGCATATTTGAGATATAAAAAGTGGTGAAAGTTTTCTCCAACATATCATGATCAGTAATATTATCACCACATAGTTTCAATTGGGAAATAATTCTGAACATAGCAGAATTATACTCACTGATAGATTTAAAATCTTGTAGCCTTAGATGAGTCCAATCATAACGTACCAGTGAAAGAATGACCATCTTCAGGTGGTCATATCTATCTTTCAAATTATTCCACAGTATGACTGGATCTTTAATAGTAAGATATTTCGTTTTCAAGTCTTCATCAAGGTTATGGCGTAGGAATATCATTGCTTTGGAACGGTCTTGGTTTGATGCTTGATTTTTGTCCTTGATGGTGTCTGCCAGACCCATCGCATCAAGATGAATTTCAGCATCAAGCACCCAAGACATGTAGCTTTTGCTCGATATATTCAGGGCTACAAATTCAAGTTTAGAAAGATTTAACATTATTTAGAAAAGAAAAGTTCGTACCTCTAATACTTTCAAAGTATTTGCTCTAGATGGCAGAGACTCGTGCTGATAACGTGTTATAAAATAAAGACTGTAAAGTAAAGACAAGTATAGATAGAAACTGATATATTATTCAAACTTCAAACTTATGTACATAATGAACTGAAAACTCCTCTATTTATAGAAGAAAGGAAGTTGTTGTGTAAGCTGCTACTGCAAGCTGCTGTCTAAGCTGTTTGTAAGCTACTATTGTACCTAATATAGATAATTTTCTACCGGAGGTAATGTTTATCCATAACGGAGTACCAAAATAATAAGCTTCTTCAGGAGGCTTATTTCCAATAGAGTACTAAATAGATAAATATATTTACGGCGGAGTCTCATATGAATAAATTTCTTCATGAAACTTATTTACAACGGAGTATTAAATGAACATCCATAATAATAATATATTTATAACAGATTGGAGATTTTCGACTATTCTTTTAGCTCTAGTGCTGTCATTACCTAACTAATTTAAGAATATTTGGTGAAGACTGCCTTTTGTTGATTTATATTATTCTCTATCTTGATTATTACCATAACTAATTCCAATCCTCTGCAAAGTTACCATTATTAATTTGGCCAAGTTTCTCTCCAANTTGATTTTTTTTCCTACCAAAAATACCCTTAGCAAAATATTATATATACCAAAATAACCTTACTTAGTTTAAACTATTAAGTAATATATAATGACTTTTGCGATATATTTACTGAATGATTTTTTGATATATTTAAATTATCTTGAAAGAATAAAGTACTTTACAATTTTATTTTTATATTTTTTCTTAATTAAATAAAAAACTTAATTATTATCATTAATAATAAATATTTTTGATTATTTATCTACTTATATAACATTAACTATTAAGCAAATCTCTTTATGCCCTTATTCGTAATTTGACTCTTAAAATCACTTTTTGAAATGCTTGGCCAAACACAAAGTATTGTTTAAAAGTGATTTTCAAATTGATTAGTCAAACACAAATTGTTTTTCTCCAAAAGTATTTTTTTGAAAAGCAGTTTAAAAAAAAAATATTTTTGAAAATAAGTTAATTTTTCCAACTTGGTCAAACATGCTATATTGCCATTGTAGCAAATAGAAAGAGTAGAAAACTCATACTTATTTCAATACACATTCCAAGAAAAGATATCAAATTTTTTATTTGAATGTAAGCTGTTAAACTTAAAAAAGAGATATTGTATTATTTTTAGGTTCCTTAAGAGAAAAACAGTCTAGCTCTAAAAGCTTTTAAAACGTTCAAGGTAATTCAGGTTTAGACTTTTAAAAGAGGTGCTCTTTTAATTTTTCTAAAGACAAAAAACCAAGGTCATTATGGAGATTTGGGAATTCGTTTTCTGGTAGGGTTGATTGTCATAGTTTTTTTTTTAATTTTTGAGTACATATATCTATTTATTTATAATAATTTATTGCTTTTTAAAAAATATCTACATACTATACTTTTCTAGGTAAAAATTGGGTACATTTGCAGGGAGTTTATTGTTGCCTTTGCTAAAACATGTGGGCTAATTGCAATATGCATGAACTTTAAGGTGTTTAAGCAAAAATTACCTGTTCACATTGTGTTAATGAGTAATAAGACAAATTAAAAGCTGCTGTACCTGCTTAATCACACCATTATTGACCAATTAATTTGTCCTGACTCTCAAAATTTACTGCAATACATAGGAATCCATAAAGCCACTGAAGTACTCCGTGATAAAAAGGAAAAAGAAACAGAAGGGCAGATTGCATAGAAATATACTGTCAAAGAGAAGTAGAAAAGCAAAGATTCAGATCTCAGTATGCTCAGAAAGAAACGTTTTTATAAAAAGTAAGAGGAATATTCAACTAAAAATAAAGTATTAAAAATCAATCTTATCAATTTTAGAAAGTTGGGAATATCCTCTAATGTATACTCATCTGTATGTATAAGTTATTTACGTAGGACCTGACGTTGTGGGTGTAGTAACCCACTAATACTTGTCCCCTCTACAAATACTTAATAACTGGTCAATTAGAAACATTGTACTATTCATAAAGTTCTAACTCAAATAGTAACTACTTGTTTCCCCTTCTAATAATTTCTCCCAAAGTTAAACAGAAACAAAAAGACCTAAATCATAAAAATAGTCCCTTATGTTTGGGACGGATTTGAAATAGTTTTTTAAATATGCATCTGAGTAATTTTAGTCCTTTATATTTACAAAAACTAAGCACTTTTGGTTTCTGTTACATTTATAATACATGGAAAATTGTCTTTGATAGATTTGGCTAATGGGAAGCATGTGAGCCATGTAAACTAAGAAATCATTTAGACAAGCTTCTCTAATAAATTCTCCTAATTAAATCATATTTCAATAACAAGGAGTGTTATTAAGGATTCTAAGTTAATATAAACGATGATTCATTCCTAACTCGTATAATGAAAGATCGAACAAAACAAATATTGCATTCAATTTGCTTGGATAAGATTTTCTTAAGGTACAAATTGAGAAAAATAACTCTTTAGAAGTTCGTCTAGACGGATTTCTTAAGTAAACGAACCTTATGCTTCTTAGGGAGTCAAATTCGTCAAAGATAACTCCGCTCTATGTTTTAATAATAATAGAGACTAAAAGTGATCAATTTTGATAAATATAAAGGACTAAACTTGTTCAAGTAATATTTAAAGGACCACTTTAGACTAACCCACAAACATACGGGACTATATATGTCATTTTCTCTAATAGTACACAGACTGCACAACACAGAAAAGGAGCCGTTAAAGTGGGGCAGTTTAGTCATAAAAGCGCACTTACCTATGTAATGCAATTAATTAATCGTTACTATATTAACAAAAGTTGGGATTTCACTGACACAGATCTATTAAAGAGAATGCTTGTTGCCAGATAGGCAAATGGTTTTTCTCCTTTCTATTTGTACACTCAAAATCCTGAAAGCTATCGCCACACAATGCAACAAAAATTCCTCCAATTAAAGCAAAATTCATTGCTTTTCTACACTAGAGTGTTGTGAAGGTGTGATCTAGTGCTGAGTCATTTGTTATTTGTCATCAGTCATTTCTTTTGTAATTTATCTTCTGGCTTTCTTTAATTGATTAAACATAATAATAATAATAACATGATTTGCAAAACTAATTTGCAGAAATTATAATATATGAATCATTAAATAAGATAATATATGAAGTATTGCGCAATTATATTAAACACATCGAGAACTATAATTCCAAAGAAGTGTCTTCAAGTGTTTTTATAAAAATATTTCATGCACTATTATCCAGTGTCTTATCTGATAAAAAATAATAAACAAATTCTTACATAAGTTAGGAAAATATTACCTATATCGAATTTTATATCTATACTAACTTTGTATTAATTTCGACTTATTTGTGATTAAAGAGTAATTTTTTTTTAACTCAAACGAAGTCTTTTATTAGATTGAATCTGAATCAGCAACCAACAAGTTTATTATAAAAGTAGGAGCATACTCCCAATAATACATACCGTTATCTCAAAACCAAAAGTTAATATGCAATGGGAGGTTGATGATTTTAGTCCAAATTATTTACTTTAACAACGAATTTCTTTTTGGTAGAAACCAAAAGCACTATTAATCAATTTGAATTTAATTTATATACACAATGGTAAATAAAAATTTATACCTTTAGATCACATAAGTGAAATCAGTACATAATCTTCTATATAAAACGTAGAAGTGTAATCTTACACACAACATATATTAACTGCTATAACAGGTAAAGATATACTTGATACTAAGGTGTATATTAGAGTTATGGCTTGTTTGGATGATTGTTATGTATCTTTGTATAATGTATCGTATAATATTGTATTGTATTGTATTTACTGTATCGTTTTGATGTATATAAAATTTGAATATATTGTATTATTTTTCGTCGTTTCATGAAGTCATGCACAAACAATATGGAGAATAAACTTGTAATTTTTTTTTTTTAAAATAAGGTACGAAGTAGAATTATTATATAAAATGATAGGTTAAAAGATAAAATAAGATTATTTAATAATATGAAAGGGCAAGATAAGAGAAAATAATAAAGGAACGACGCGACCACACCAAATCGATCGTTCCATAAAATGACACTCGTAACAATAAATTTAACGATAGAATATAATAAAATTTAATTAACAATCAAAATAAATATTATACTCAAAATAACAATACAATACAATACAATATAACAACCAAACAAACTGTTAAACTCAATTTATAAAGGAATGTAAAAGAACAAATATTATTGGACCTTGTTAATTATTTGGTCGAAACTCGAAAAATATGAAGGTAAAGTAGCATTCACGCACACATTCCAAGGCTAATGCATCAACTGTACAAGATTCCCTCCTTTCTTCTTCTTCTTCTTCTTCTTCTTCTTCTTCTCTCCATATTTTTCTCATCATTTCAGTATGTCCCCTTCTGTACACTTGCTTAAAAAGTTGAACTGAAATGCATGGGTTGCGCTGCTAATCGTTTCCATTTGATTTTCCAATCTATTCAGGTTCCCTTTTTATGGGCTTTAAGGTTTTTCTTTTTCTTTTAACTCTCTCTTCTCAGCATTGCCTCTTTTCACTCTGTTTTAGCTTTTCTTCAACTTCTTAAACACAAATATATAGTCTTTTCCCATTTCTGGGGTTTCAGTCGTCTCTTGAATGACTCTGCTCTCTTTGCTTCTCTACGTATAAAGGTTTAATCTGTTTTCCAAGTTCAGGTTTAGGGTTTTAAGGACATTTTGGTAAAACCTGAAGACTGAAGAAAGGTGTTTACCCTTTTTCCAAAATCTGTTTTGGGCCACATTTGATGAAAGAAGGGTTTTAGGTTTGACGTTAAGGGTTTTAGTGTTTTGGGAAAAATCTACATTTTCTGTACTGAGGATGGTAAAAAGGCTCAATTTTGTGAAGTGGGTGTTGTGAATTTTTTTGGCATAAAAATGGGTGCAACAAGCTCAAAATCAGAAAGGAGTGAAGCTCTAAGATTATGCAAAGAGAGGAAGAGATTTATAAAGCAAGCAGTTGATTCAAGGTATGCATTAGCAGCTGCACATGTTTCGTATGTTCAATCTTTGAGAAATATAGGCATTGCTCTTAGGAGATATGCTGAAGCTGAAGTTTTAATAGAATCATCTTTATCAACAACTTCAGCTACTGAGCTTGACAAAACCCCTTCACATTCTTCATATCCATCACCATCACCATCTCACATTGGTGGGGTTTCAGATTCCCCTGTGTTAAATGGAAGTCCCCTTTCACCAACTCCTGTTATTGCTACTAGGTTGAGTTATATGAGGTCTTCTTCTGGACCTACTGCTGTTACTGTCAGGTTGAGTCCACCTTCAAGAAACAATATGTATGTTGTAGATGATGTTGATTTCTCTACCCCACTACCCCCTCCACCACCCCCAGATTCAGGTTCTTGGGATTTTTTTGACCCTACTGATAATGATAGCTTTAGGTTTGTCACACAACATAATGGTAGGCAACTCAACTTTGATGAAAAAGATAATGATGATGGTGATAATGGGATTCAAGAAGAGTTCTTGACACCTAAATCAGAGCCTAGAAGTAATGGTAATGGTAAATTGGAATTTCATGATTCTAGTTCAGTTATGCCTCAGAGGGGTGAGAACAATAGTCAGCAAGTAGTTGATGGTGAGGCCAAGAATGTGAGCAGTGAGCAGAAAGCGAATGGCTCGGTTAGTAAAACAGTATCTGGTTCAAGGGGAGACAAGTCTTTAGTGGATGAAAGAGAGGATCCTTCAGAGTTCATAACTCATAGGGCCAAAGATTTTCTTTCTAGCATAAAGGACATTGAGCATCGATTCTTTAGAGCATCTGAATCCGGGAAAGAGATTTCAAGAATGCTCGAAGCTAACAAAATCCGAGTTGGGTATTCTGAGGCCAAAGGTAACTAAATTAATCTCTTAGAGACGTTGAAAAATGTTCTCTTATTCCTAACTTTGGTTTTTGCATCTTTTACCTACTGAAATTCAAATGTGTTTGCTTAGCTACGGTCAAGTTCTAATACATTCCTTCTTCAGGAAAATCATCAGTGTCGACCTATTTGTCTTCCATGGGCCCAATTTGCTGCAGAAGAACGGGTGCAAACATGTCTGGTGGTAAGTTCCTTGAGTGGATTAACAAGTCGTGTCTTCATTTAAAAGTTGCCAATTTAGTTATTTAGTTACACATTACAAGAACCTCAAAAGAGGAAACATAAATCTAAGTTCAGATTTTAGATTGCAGAGTTTGTGGATTTACTTGTATTACTTCTGTGGTAATAAACTTGGGTTTACTTCATGAAGGCTTAGCGTTACTGAGATTATCACATCGACATGTAACTTCTGAGGCTTAAAGATTGAGTATTATAGGCTTTTTTGCTGGAAATCAACAACAACAACAACAACAATAATGACCCAGTAAAATCCCACTAATGGGGTCTGGGGAGGGTAGTGTGTACGCAGACCTTACCCCTACCCCGAAGGAGTAGAGAGGCTGTTTCCGAAAGACCCTCGGCTCAAAAAAATAAAAAGACAAAATGACAAAAAGGAGACAATATTAGTATCACAACAACAATCATAGGATAAATAGGAACACCATGAAATCCAGAAGAAAGATGCAAAGCAAAGGGATACAATATTAGTAAATATTAGTATCACCACAACAATCATACGAAAAATAGGAACATCATGAAATCCAGAAGAAAGATGCAAAGCAAAAGCGATAGCTAGTAAATAGGACATGCACTGAAAAGCGAAATAGTAAGCCACAACATTGCCACTAGCTATCTTAGACAAAAATCCTACATGGCTAGTCCCACAATGGTACGAAGTAAGACACGACTCAACTACCTCCTAACCTACAACCCTAATGCTCGACCTCCACATCTTCTATCAAGTGACATGTCCTCGGAAATCTGGAGTCTCGCCATATCCTGCCTGATCACCTCTCCCCAATACTTCTTAGGTCGCCCTCTACCTCTTCTCGTGCCTTTTTGCTGGAAATCAGTTGCTTTTAATATGAACAAAATAGTTTTTGCAATTTTTTGAGCTTACTTGAAGCAAATGGTTGATATTAAACTTTTGGAACACTTCAAAACTTAATATTTATGAAGTGGTGTTTTAAGTCTGAATGTTGACATATTTAGCAAAGGAGGTCCAGTAGGAAACTTTGCAGCACATGCATCCACCACAATTGTTTTGAAAGTGGCTATTTGTTCTTTCAAGGTCATTTTAAGTCATAGTTGAGTCTTCTTCCTACATAATTCTTGTCCTCTTCTTTTCTTCTTTGAGCTAGCTGGGGTTTTGGGTAGGTGGAATGGGCATTGTCAAGTTTGGGTGGAAAGCTGGTGTGTATATCATATTGAAGTAACAAAGGGGGTATAGAAATGATCGAAATAGGAAGGAAGAAAATAATAATAATGGAAGCAGGAGAAATATGTGACTATATATACGGGATAAGAGAGGTGAGAAGAGAGAAAACAAATACAGTGAAGGCTGTGGGGGAGGGATGAAGAGAGTTGTGAGCAGATGGTAGAGATTGGGGAATGCAGAGGTGATGGCCATGATTTGACTCATGGAGTTTCTTTTTTTGACGCCCGTAACTTTTAGTTTTTGGTCAACTCGGAGAAGATTACTGAGGTCCTAGGTTACAACGTGTGATGGCCATGACTTTGACTCATGGAGTTCCTTTTTTATTAATCTTAACCTTTGATGGTGTATGGAGTTTAAGATGTTAATTTGATCTGTGAATTGCTAAAGTTAGTCAATGGAAAAATATCATATCAATTTACAAATTTTGATTGGTTAAGTGATTTGAATTCTTAAAACTTGTGAAAGTTTAAACAAATATTATTAATAGAATGGTGTCAGACAGTTAGGGGCGTTACAAAATGGACGATTTTTAACGTACATTCAAGTCAAGACTAAAATGTTCACAATTCAAGAAATTCTAGTTTTATTGTGCTCCAATGAATATAGGAGTTAAATCACATCTTCCTATTAATGGAACTGAAAGCATAAGTAAGTATCAAAGTTGTTTGGAGTGATGTTAGACAATTGATTATAGAGTTACAATTATGTGATTCAGGCTGGGTTGTAGTCCATGAATTTGCTAGCAACAGGTCATTTTCACAAAAATCATTTGCGTTTATACTATAGCTGATCAAGTATCTGCTACTCATTTTGCGTGTTCATTGCTGTTCTAATTCTCAAGTGCTATGCAGAAGCAGAACATGTAACAAAGGTGATTACCTGGAAGAGGACCACATCCTCAAGATCATCTTCATCGAGGAATCCTCTAAATAGTAAGGATGACAATGATGATAGTGGGAGTGATTTTGTTGAAGATTTTTGCATGATCGCTGGAAGCCACTCATCCACCCTTGACAGAGTTTATGCATGGGAGAGGAAACTTTATGATGAAGTGAAGGTACTGATCTTAAACTTGAGTGTCCTGTTTATTTTAGATTACATTGGCACAGGACAAGGTCAGGGAGCTTGAATTTACAGCTCAAGTGACTCAAATATAAATAAGAGCTGAATCTTTAGATATCAAGAAGCAGACTCCAAGGAATTGTTGCTGAATTTGGTTTATAGAGTAAAATACATCTGAATTTGAGATTAAAGATAATTTTAGTAGCTAATGACGCATTAAACAAAAAGTATGCAGAATCTTCGAGTCTGAACATAACAGGTGGCGTGAAAAGACTCTTTCATTTAGGAAGCTGAGTATATCTCTTCCCAATGGCCATCCTAAACTACACAAATGTAGCCTATATAGAGGAATTCCTTACTAGGAACAACGTTCTCCAGAGTGATCCAGTTTGACTACCCTAAGTTTACAAGAGAGTTCAAAAAGAACTTCCTTTTATTGATGACCACAATACTTCATGTGGGCCTTCTATATTAATCATTCACATTATATACACTGAACACTTTATTGCACTTCAAGTCTCTTGCTGACGACGACAGGCTTTGCACTTAAACACCTTGCCTTCCAACTTTTCCTTTTGAAAAAAAAAATTCTGTTCACCTTGAGGTGATTGAGCAAGTTTCTTTTATCCAGTCTCCTACCCTCACCCTTCATAATGGTTAAAATACATCCATTATCGTTGAGAGCTTCAATTATATAGAAGTCCACTCTTTTTGTCTCCTCAATGATGTCCTAATGTATCTCCCTGCTGGGGTTTATTAGTTGCTGTGGAAGTGCAGTTTCAAAAGAATCCCACTCCCCCCC